GAAACAAAACGAGTAGTTTGATCTGCACTCTTATTAAGACCTATTTCGCTGTTTAGCGAAGGACTTTCTGCAGTCAGAACTAATGGATTAATCAATCAGTAAAGGCAAATAGAAGCATAGTTAGAATAAAAATAGAAGCTGCTAGTCGATTGTCACTTATAAACAATCGGACCATGACGGTATGAAGTCTTATCTTTCCCATACAATTTTACCTTGCTAAGAATCCTCAAAATAGTTGAGTCTAATCACTAAAAGTGGCGCGCGGAATCACAGACTGTCCCGTACACACGTCCCTGGTGCAACTGAGTAAAAGGCCGAACGTGGTATTCTAGTGAAAACTAGTCTATTGACTTTTCTGTGGATGGGATATGTCAAATAGACATTCGCGTATCTGTAAACAAATGTGCAGAATCCAACTCTGCAAGTTAATATGGTTGCACCTACCTGATAGACTCCAGTGAGGACCAGAATGGATTCACAGGTCTCGGCAAAGGGGCCTACATAAGCCGCTCTTTGCACCATGGATGAAAGGGGCACTGCATTTACATGAAATGCTGCAGCAGCTGACCGATTAGGACGGCTCATACCACTACTGCAAGTACCGGACAAACTCGGAATAGGTGTTTCAGAAAGGGATGGAGGCCGTGTAGAAGGTGCTTGAGAACGAGCTGCAGAGAAAGACTCAGATTGATTGACGATGCTGAAGGCTCGCCGTGTCTCAAGAACGAGATTGTAAAGATTTGCACCATAAATGTCGGTTTGGGGATTGTCCCTTATAGGTTAGCACAAAAAACAGCTCTTTACTAATGGTAATAATAGCACGAATTATCAACTCAATGCTTTACTATGATAGCATTCATTCATAAAGTATATTTTGGCATTTCATCTAAGGCCTTTGCCTTACAGAGAATAAGAAGCTTCAGAATGCAAATATAGGACTCACCCATGTGCATTTTCATAAAAAATGCAGAATCATGTTAGTTGTATACGGCTGCATAACTCGGTGGTTGAAAATTTTTTCGTTATGAAGCCCAATGAATAACATCAAAGCTTCTTAAGTCCCCGTATAGAAATTATATGGGTATAAAGTATGTAAATAAACTTAATAAAGAAAATCGTAGATATGAACATC